TCACTCGGTTTCATCCGCCAACGACGCACCTGACGCCGGAGATGGTACAGTTTGGTGCCGCTGGCTCAGGCTGGAGGTCGACTGTTGGCGATTCGATATTTCGGGGCGGAGGTGAGTGGTATTCGGGAGGAAGGGCTCGAACCCCACATCCGAAGGCGATAAACACCACGGGTCTCGACACGTTAATCTAGTCGAAAAAGACTTGACAGCACATGCCTCTAACGTTCCTTACCCATCACCGAGCGATTGCATGCGAACAGATGATGCCTCATTTGACAGTGCATAATTGCGTCCCTGCGTAGGCCAGCCAGAGAGGCCACGAACTCGAAAGGGCTTGGCTAGCCTCGTATTGCGGTGTCACATCGAGTGGGCGTCTTCTTTCCTAAAGTGTAGGTCGGCTTGTGATTGGTGCAAAGGCCCACAGCCACAGATCCAATGGTAGGCTCTGCAAGGGTGGCGACAGCTGATTGGTCGACGATTTGTGGCGTCAGAATGAGTGACGCTCATGAGCGGTGTTGACTTCAAGTCAATTCTTGCTATTTCGTGTTTTGTGTTTGGTGTTTGGTATTGGGTATTTGGAATTTGTGTTTGGTGTTTGCTATTTGGTGTTTGGTATTTGGTGTTTGGTGTTTGGTGTTTGGTGTTTGTTGTTTAGCGTTTAGTGTTTGTTTTTTGGTGTTTGGTGTTTGTTGTTTAGTGTTTAGTGTTTGTTGTTTGGTGTTCGATGTTTAGTATTCGGTATTTGGTGTTTACTATTCGGTATTTGGCATTTGTGTTTGGTGTGTTTGGTGTTTGCTATTTAGTGATTGGTATTTGGTGTTTAGTGTTTGTTGTTTGGTGTTCGATGTTTGGTATTTGGTATTTGGTATTTGATATTTGGTATTTGGTTTCTGCTGCAAGTAGGTTGCAGCAAGGTGTAAAGAAGATGGCCAACTGCTTCTGGTTCGTGCTCTGGCTTGACACTGAATGTGTTCTTCAAGCAGGGGATCGGAACTGTGAACTTGGACGAAGAGCTAGTCTGCTAGCAAAACTAAAACGCCAGCCCCTTTCCATCTTTCTGATAGTCAATAGATGACCTCTTCATTGCTGTGACAAGGAGCCCCTTTCGACCCCAGTAGATAAATTAGGACTGCGCCTCAGTCGACAGGACTGGTCAGACGTCCGATCATGGTCCAGCTGTTGCTTTTGGCCGGATTACCCCCTTGCAATTTTTGGTATTTGATGTCTTGAGTTTGTTTTTTGGCGTTTGGTGTTTGGTATTTGGTATTTGCTGTTTATGTTTTTGGTGTTTGGTGTTTGGTATTGGCTATTTGTTATTGGGTATTTGATATTAGCTATTTGGTATTCGGTATTTGGTACTGGGTATTTGGTACTGGGTATTTGGTGCTTTCGTTTTTACTCTTTGGTGTTTAGTGTTTGGTGTTTGGTATTTGGTATTTGATATTTGTTATTTGATATTTGTTATTTGGTATTTGGTGTTTGGTATGGGGTTTTTGGTATTTGCTGTTTGGTGTTTGGTGTTCGGTATTTGGTGTTTAGTATTTGGGATTTGGGTTTTTTAATTTTGTTCGGTATTTGCCACTTGCTTGACACTGAATGTGTTCTTTAAGCAGGGGATCCTAATTGGGTAGCTCTTGGACGAAGATCTAGTCTGCCAGCAAACCTAAAAGGCCAGCTTCTTTCCATCTTTCTGATAGTCAAGAGGTGACCTCTTCATTGCTATGACAAGGAGCCCCTTTCAAAGCCAGCAAACGAGGCCGTAGACAGATTTGGACTGCGGCTCAGTCGACAGGACTGGTCAGCCGTCCGATCATGGTTCAGCTGTTGCTTTTTTTTGAAATTTCTAAACGCAGCACCGTCGATTGGTGTACTCATGTTGCCATTAAGTGACTTTCTTCTACCTGCCCAGATTTTTCATGCCACGATTTGGAATAGAACAACTTGGGCCTTCGGAGCATTGTATCTGCGTGTCGATTCTGTATGCAACTTTTCATCCTTGCGAACCATTCATTTCGTTTGAGTTGGCGGTTCGGGGAGATTGGTAGAGTGGCCGCACCGGATACCGCAGGAGGGCTGCCTTGGACTTTTATCTGTTGAATTGTGCGAGCAAGACTTCTGCTCAGCTTCTTGCGACCCCGATGACTCCGTGCTCAGCTCTCGTCCGTGTTGGGACCAAAGAAGACTAAAGAGAGAAGGGGTGGCCAGCTGAGATCCCACTTACTTTTTATACCTCACTTTGTGAATTTAATGAGGCATTGCATAATTTGGCTGGCTGACGTATGCTTGTCCTACGTGCATGCAAGTGGTTCAAAGGGGGGATGTCGTCACAATTAGAGTATGATACAGTAGTTACGAAGAGAAAC